AGTCATTGATAAAAAATCTACATTTACTCTGACCAACATTGTTCCACAAGTGCACAAATTCAACACTGGAAGCTGGAACTATATGGAAAATTGTGTTAGATGTTTTCTAGATAAATATTGTGTCAATAACAATAATCAGAAAGAAGGTTTCATAGTTATTGGAGCACAGCCCAGTGACAACATGTTCCTCAATAACAAGGTTAATATTCCCAAACTGCTCTGGTCAGCTTTTTGTTGTTACAGTAGAAGTGAGAACAAATGGCTTGCAAGTGCTCACTGGGGTGAAAATGTTGAGTCTCAGAACAAATATCTGCAGACTGTATCCTTAGAAGAGCTGCACAGTAAACTGGGTGAACAATTTGATGTTTTTCCTGAAACACAATGTCCCCTCAAAACAACAGTTACTGAGTTTTATCCAGAACTTGAAAACACCTGCAATTGCCCACCACCAAGAACTACTACTCCTGTTATAACCACACCACTTACTGTGACATCAGTCCCTTCTATTATTACTTCTACCTCTAGTCATTCAGCTACTACGTCTGCCCCACCCTCTACCCCAACTACATCACAAGTAACCACTACGACAACATTTACAATAACTACCAAACCATTTACAACAACTGCTAAACCATTTTCAACAACTACTAAACCATTTTCAACAACTAATAAACCATTTTCAACAACTGCTAAACTGTTTTCAACAACTACAAAACCATTTTCAACAACTGCTAAACCGTTTTCAACAACTACTAAACCATTTTCCACAACTACAAAACCGTTTTCAACAACTACTGAACCGTTTTCAAACACTACTAAACCATTTTTAACAACTTCTAAACCATTTTCAACAACTACAAATCCTTTTTCAACAACTGCTAAACCATTTTCAACAACTGCTAAACAGTTTTCAACAACTACTAAACCATTTTCAACAACCCCTAAACCATTTTCAACAACTACAAAACCATTTTCAACAACTACTAAACCATTTTCAACAACTACAAAACCATTTTCAACAACTGCTAGACCATTTTCAACAACTGCTAAACAGTTTTCAACAACTGCTAAACCGTTTTCAACAACTGCTAAACAGTTTTCAACAACTGCTAAACCATTTTCAACAACTGCTAAACCGTTTTCAACAACTGCTAAACCTTTTTCAACAACTGCTAAACAATTTTCAACAACTACTAAACCATTTTCCACAACTACAAAACCATTTTCAACAACTGCTAAACCGTTTTCAACAACTACTAAACCATTTTCCACAACTACAAAACCGTTTTCAACAACTACTGAACCGTTTTCAAACACTACTAAACCATTTTTAACAACTTCTAAACCATTTTCAACAACTACAAATCCTTTTTCAACAACTGCTAAA